ATAATCAATTCTTAATGAAACCCTCTGATTCTTCAAAACCGAAAATTCACTTTCAAGCTTTTTCTTCAACTTGCTCCAATGGCTTCTTAACAGATTTTGACACTAGAAGCTTCTCAGAATGCTCCACACTCAATTTATAATCTGTTTCACCACTTTGGAGGCCCAAACCAAGCCCAATTTTGGATTTTCAATTTTCACTTCTTTCCAAAATTTCAATGATGGTGGTACACGTTTTTGCTTTGTTCATCCTTCAAACCCAGTCCAAATTACTCACTTAATAGCTGTGGAGTGTAATTGAAGTGTTTTCCCTCCTTGATTTCAATCCATGGGGTGTACTTGATGTGTTTCTTCATCATGAAGCAAGCCTCCATATGGACATGTTATGAAACTCAATCCAAAATTATGATAATGCCAATCTCTTTAGAATTCCATTCAAAATGACCACAAATTTGGCTTGAAAACATGTTATTTCCAATTGTTTTGAATTTTCTCATTTTAATTCATTAAAATGGCCTTTGTTAGGATTTTCTTCAACCAATGCTTGATATAATCCATATCAATGGACTCTTGATACTTGGCTAAGCTAAAAACATAATTTTGATCAACTTTCATGTTGAAAAAAAATTCATTTGAAGCTTGCAATATGATGAAATTGACCTATGATTCAAAATGACTTGTAATGTCCAAATACCCAAGATACCCTTAACTTGTCAAAGCCATAACTTGAGTTCTATAAATACAATCATGGACTTCTAGTACTCTATGGAAAGATAAGAGAGTAAGGAACAACATTCATGTTGACCAAAAGTTCATAGGAATCATCCTTCTAGGGAAAAAGTGTCATGCAAGTTGGGTAACTTTCAAGCTCCAAATTCATATGCCTCAGATGACTTGTAACTTGTATGGTTCATAACTTGAGTTCTATGAATCCTATCAAGGACTTATAGTACTAAAATTAAAGCTAAGATCATGCCCTACAACAATCATGTTGGGGTCAAGATGAGATGAAGATCATATCTTGAGTTAAAAACCCTAACCTGAAACTTCTCAAACTCTTCAATCATGATGAGTTAACCTTGGATTCACCCTTAGAATCTCAATGTATCCACCCATGGTCACATGGCTCTTGAATTGGGTCTCAACCTTCTTCAAATCCTTAGTTGACTTAGGGTTGACCCAGTCAAACCCTAGCTGCACCAATCATGGTTGGGGCTTCTTAATCTTGCACAATGACCTGTCTAGGCCTCAAAGTGATCTTCAACATTTCTCATGAGCTCTCTCAAGACCTCAAGTCCATCCTCATGGCCTCAGAATCATCTGATGACTTTCCCCAACTCTCAAGTTAGGAGACCTACACACTTGGCTTCAATCACTCTCTCTGAGGATCTTTTAACTTCTCTGACAAGAATATCAACCCTTGAACCCTTGAATAACATTCTTAGCTAGCCTCACAGCCTTGTATAGCCCTTTGGTTGGTAATCACACCTCTTGATCTCCTGCATACATATCAATGAAATGCAAATAACAATGCTAATGTGAATTAAATAAAACATAAGCTAGGTAGAGAAAATGTTGGGCAAATTTGGGGGTGCAACAAACATCATAATCAAAAGAGTTGTCCTTACGCCACCTTATCTAGGTAGAGGTTACAAAGTACTTTTGTACTTTTATTTTCATCAAATCACGCAAACCATTCTTGATCTTTTGTCTTCTAGTTCTTTAGAGGCTTTAGATGTATATTTGATAAAGCACGTGGTAGAAGGATCAATACTTGTAACTTCATAACCAAAGTCTTTAGAGTCTCCAGAACTCGTTCAGTAGAACCTTGTCTTTGGAGTCTTCAACACTTGGTCTTTAGAAGTGATGTCTTCAGAATCTTCAGAACTCGTTCAGCAGAACCTTGTCTTCAAAAACTTTAGAACTTGGAGCATTAGAAATGATATCTTCAGAATCTTCAAAACTCGTTCAGCAAAACCTTGTCTTTAGAAACTTCAGAACATGGAGCAATAGAAATGATATCTTCAAAATCTTTAGAACTTGTTCAGCAGAACCTTATCTTCAGAAACTTCAGAACTTGGATTAATTAAGTACATCTTTAGAGAGACTTTCAAGCTTTACACATTAAGTCATGATCAGAAACTTTAGTACGATGTTCTTCAGAACCATTGTATTAGAGGCATTCCTGAATCATAACATGTAACCAATAGACGTATTCTTTTAGAGTGATGAGTTCAGAGTTTGATGACGTCCCATACCTTTCCTTTAAAATCTATTTAGAAAAGTTACACACTAGAAATAAATTATTAGAGTACATAATTATTCTCTAACATATCATGTACAATTATCATCAAAATTTCAAGATCAGATGCAAAGCAAATCTTGTTCTTACAAGTTCGTAGTGGTTTTCATTGGTGATATTCTAATTTCTTCCAAGAAGGAAGAAGAGCATGCTGAGCATTTGCAAATTGTTTTGTAAGTGTTGAAAGAGAATAAGTTGTATGAAAAGTTGTCAAATTGTGAGTTCTGGTTGCAAGAAGTTAGTTTTCTTGGTCATGTGATTTCTGGTGATGCTATTGTCGTAGATCCGTCCAAAGTAGATGCATATCTACAATGAGAGGCTTCAAAGTTGGTTACAAATATTATAAGCTTTTTGGGCATGGCTGGTTACTACCGCAAGTTTATTGAAGGCTTTTCCAAATTAGCACTTCCATTAACCCAACTGACTTGTAAAGGTAAAGCATTTGTGTGGGACATTCATTGTGAGAGAAGTTTCATAGAGCTGAAGAAGAGATTAACTACAACTCCAGTTCTAATTTTGCCTGAACCTAATGAACTGTTTGTGGTGTATTGTGATACTTTTATGATGGGTTTAGGTGGTGTATTCATGCAAGATGGAAAGGTTGTGGCTTATGCTTCACGACAACTGAGGGTCCATCAAAGAAATTATCCTACTCATGATGTAGAGTTGGCTGCAGTGGTGTTTGTGTTGAAGATTTGGAGGCATTATCTTTATGGTTCTAGATTTGAGGTGTTTAGCGATCACGAGAGTTTAAAGTATCTGTTTGATTAGAAGGAATTGAATATAAGGCAACATAGATGGTTGGTCTTGAAGGATTATGATTTTGGCTTGAATTATCATCCCGACAAAGCTAATGTCGTGGTTGATGCTTTAAGTCAGAAGTATTTGCATATGTCTGCTATGATAGTTAGAGAGTTGGAACTGATTGAGCAGTTCAGAGACTTGAGTTTGGTCTGTAAGCTAACACCATAGAGCATGGTGTTAGGTATGTCGAAGATCAATAATAATTTTCTTAATACTATTAAAGAGAGTCGAAAATTGGATGTGAAGTTAGTGGACTTGATGATTTGGAGTAATCAGACTAAGGATAGTGATTTTAAAGTGGATGAGCGAGGTGTGTTGAGATTCTGTGACAAAATTTGTATTCTTGATGATTTTGAGTTGAGAAAGAGGATTCTGGAAGAAAGTCATAAAAGTAGCTTGAGTATTCATCCAGAAGCTACAAAGATGTATCAGGATCTGAAGAGGATATTCTGGTGGCCTGAATTGAAACATGATGTGGCACAGTTTGTGTATGCGTGTTTGACTTGTCAGAAGTCAAAAGTTGAGGATCAGAAGCCTGAAGGGTTGATGCAACCGCTGGACATTCTAGAGTGGAAATGGGATAGCATTTCGATGGATTTTGTGATTGGGTTACCGAATACTCCTGGAGGGCATGGTGCGATTTAGATGATTGTTGATAGACTGATGAAGTCGGCGCACTTTATTTCGATTAACATCATTTTTTCTTTGCAGAAGTTGACAGAAATGTGTATACATATGATGGTGAAGCTGCATGGAGTTCCGTTGATTATTATTTCGGATAGTGATCCGAGGTTCACCTCAAGATTTTGAGAAAGTTTGTAGGAGGCTTTGGGTTTGAAGTTGATGTAGAGTTCTGTCTATCATCTACAAACAGATGGTCAGACAAAGAGAACTATTTAGTATTTGGAGGATTTGTTGAGGGCTTGTGTTCTTGAGCAAAAAGGTGCTTGAGATAGTCATTTGTCGTTGATAGAGTTTACTTATAATAATAGTTACCATTCTAGCATTGAAATGACACCTTTTGAAGCATTGTATGATCGAAGGTGTAGAACATCTTTGTGTTGGTGTGGATTTGATGAGAATGTAGTACTTGGACTTGAGATTGTCTAACAGACTACTGAAAAGGTGAAACCTATAACTAGTTAGACAATCTATAATTGGTTATTTAAAATGGTTATCTATATAATGAGTTTTAAAATTTGTTTCTTAAAAACAAAACAATTTATATAATGATTATAATATTCCTTTATGATAAATAATTATAAATCAATTAGTTATGTCAATAATCCAATTATAAACATCCTTATATTCAAGGTCTAATTTATAAGAAAAAAAATTATTTTTTAATTTATTGAATATATAATGTATTTTATTTATATATTATTTACTACACTAATATTCAATATATCTAATAAAGTAAATTTTTTATAGGATTAATTATACTTTTTCAAAGAAATTATTTTATTATCTCATAAAATTATAAAACTATAATTTATGTTACTTATAATATATTTAATTCATTTAAAATGATATATTATATATTTATTTTGACTAAATTCTAGTAGTAATATAGTTAAAATACATTAAAAACATAAATAAACACACAAGTCTTAATTCCTCATTTCTTTTCAACCCTTGGATGCTTCCGTGCTCTGAAACCATTGGACCGTCACACAAATTTCCGTAACCATCGCTCATCACGCTGAAACGAATCTAACACACGATGATGAAGTGTGCTTTGTACCTTTGGATCTGAAATGGGGACCGTTGATTTCATCGCGTTGACATTCGCAGTACTCTTTCTTCTCAACGCTTTCGATTTCGAGTTCGTGCTCTCTTTCCTCTACTTCACTTGATCTTGTCTTTTTACTGTTGTTAACTCCAAATCTGTCTTGCCATGAAGAAGAAGCTCGATACCCGTTTCCCTGCTGTGAGTATTTTCTATTTCATTTTCTAAAGTCTTGATCTTTTAGTTGTTTTATGTTGGTTTTAGAATTAAAAACAAGATTTTTCTAGATTAGATTATCTGGGTTTACTGTATAATTTAATTTTAACCTAATTTTTGGAAATTGTAAATTTTTTTGGTTTTGTATTATGATGCTTGATTATTGAAGTTGATGTGTTTTGAATGATGTGATGTGATGTTAGTTTTTTTAGCTGCTTAGCTTAGTTTGGGTTTCTATGATCTATGAATCAGATACATAAACATGAACAGCAGACACTGCCCGTGTCAGTATCTTGCTGGTGTCCAACACAGACAGACATGGTCTATGATTCATACTCTTGTTACCAATTTTGGGTTTGTTTGGATTCTGTGATTTGAAATTATATGATGCATGGATCAATTGAGATTTATGATACATGTGGAGAATTATGACGGGTTTATGTTTTCTGGTTTCGGATAAGTGTTGTTCATTTTCTTTCTTATGTTTACTGTCTATGAAGCACGGACACCTGTAGGATTAGGCGTGTTGCGGTGTCCGAGACTTGTATGACACCCGTAAGACGTGTTAGAAGAGTCAAAAAAGTGTAGAAAAAGTCAGGCAGGTGACTTAAACATTTGTTTTTTTCTTTGTTTCGACACTTTTTGAATCGTTGTTGACACCTGTATGACACTCATACCACATGTGTGAGGCAATTGAGACAAGTGTTTCAAACAAAATTTGTTTTTTTCTTTGCTTCAACACCTTTATATATTTTTTGGACAAATCTCACACATCTAAAAGGGTTAAACACATTGAAGCCCTAAAAGGGTTAAACACATTGAAGCGCAATGTTATCGAAACATTAATTTTGATTGGAATATTTTTAACTCTTTTAATAATAAATAGATAAAATAAGGTCAAATCCTATCATATGTGTAAGTGGTGTTGATGTCCTATGTTTTTGACGTTATCAGTTTCAAAGTTTCAGTGTCCGTGTCGAAGTTCATGCTTCATAGTTTACAATTTACTTTGCAATAATCCAACTTATGTGAGGGATATATAAATTTGCAGGCTCGGATAAAGAAAATTATGCAAGCAGATGAGGATGTTGGAAAGATAGCACTAGCCGTGCCTGTTTTAGTGTGTGAGTTTCTTTGATTTACCGTGTTTTTTAGTTTAAGATGCTGCCTTTTTGTTTTGTTGACACTATGAATGCATTGCAGCTAAAGCTCTAGAGCTATTTCTGCAAGATCTTTGTGACCGCACTTATGAGATAACTCTTCAAAGAGGGGCAAAAACCATGAATTCGTTGCATTTGTAAGTATATTATACTCTTTATTACCGGGGTTTCTATACGGAAGCACCAATGGCTAGAGTTTCTCTTGCATTCAATTTTCTGATTCTTTGACGAACTATGATACTTTATTCCGTCTTTCTTTCTAAATGTTTTCCTTTTTAAACAATTTGATTTCTTTTATTGAACATCTGAAAATGGAATGCAATAAAAAACTTTTATGTTTTTCTTGTGTCTTCCTCCTAAACTCGTTTTATCTTCAACAATTCTAAAATCAAATCTAACCGGCGGCAAATATAAACTGCAGAAAACATTGTGTACAAAGCTATAATGTCTTTGACTTTCTGAAGGATGTAGTCAGCAAGGTTCCTGATTATGGCCATGGTCACGGCCATACTGATGCTGGTGGTGCTGATGATCAGGCCATTCCCAAAAGAAGGTTTGAAGTCTCGTACCTTTGTTTTTTTTTTTTACTTTTCTGATATACATGAAGTTAATAACATGCTCAAACCATATTTCCAGAAAAGCAGCAGGTGATGATTGTAATGACAGCGATGAAGAAGCTAAGAGGGGCAAGATGGTAATTGCACTTTTCCTTATATCTGTATAAAATCCCTGCATTTTAATTTCTTAAACACTGCTCAGCTATTTGGTCGGTGTCATTCATGCAGTCATGTACAATGTCTCCCTCATTCGCCAAAATATCTGTGTTTGGCAGACTAAGATTTTGAAAATAATAATGATGAATAATTTTGTATTCTTTTCACTAATTCTAGTTTTTGTCATAGCTTGGTTGGTAAGTGTTGCTTTTCTTTTATTCCAGATTGAGTTGGGCCACCCTAGCCCTACTGGTAGGGGAAGAGGCCGAGGTAGAGGAAGAGGACGTGGTCGAGGTCGAGGACGGGCTAGTCTAAGAGAGGGACATCATTATGAGACCGAGTTTGACCCCTTTCCTTCTATTCAGCAAGTTAGCCAACAGATTCCAGATACAAATGTGATTATACATGATATCTCAGAGCCAAGGGAGTTACCAAAGGAGAATATTGTTGCTGCTGTTGAAAACTCCGACTCACTCCGTAATATTGATCTGAATGCCAATATGACCGAAAATGATGACAAAAAGGCCAGCACAGTTGCTAATCTCACAGTCGCTATTCCTGAAGCTGCTAAACCCGATGCCGCTAATCCTGCAGCTGCTAATTCTGATGCAGCTAATCCTGAAGCCGCTAATCCTGCAACTGCAATTCCTGAAGCTGGGAAAACCACACTGTCTGAACCTGCTCCAGCAGACAGCATGCATCACGAAGAAATTCCAGGGTGGTCCCTTTCTGAGGTGGACAAGATGGCCATTGATACAATGCAGCTTGCACAGCGAATGGAAGAGGATGATGAAGATTATGACGAGGAGGACGAGTGAGTTGTAGTGTTTTGGGGAGGGAGATTAGATTAGTAGCTAAAAGCTCATTATAAGTGTAGAAAAGTATATACTAGCTGTCATAACAAGTCTTATGTTGACTGAACAAAAAAAGCCTTGTGTTTAATCTGGTTTGTCTATGTTGTATGTTCTCTGAAGCTGTTGTTGTATCTTTCTTTCCCTTAACAAGTTATGTTAGGTTGGCGTACTTTTAGGCCTGTAGTGTATATTAATGTTCCATATGTAGGAAATTCTATTTTATGTAGTCAAAACTTAGTACTATATTGGAATTGCAAGTGAATACATGCTATGTATTTCAGTCTTAGTTGTAATGTTTGCATGATTTTTAAACCTTTTCAAAGATGGAAGCTCAATATTAGTTTGCATATATGTAATAAGTAATTATAGATATTATAGTTAAAAGGAAAAATATTGTATGAAAAAATAACAATATTACTTAAAAAGGAACTGACGGAATAAGTCTAAAGTTAAATTTTTTTTACTCATATCCCTACTATTATCTCTTTATCTCTATATTTTTTAAAATATTTTAATTCTACTTCTTTTAATTATATAATAATTTTATTATTTAATATTTATTATTTTTTTAATGTATTTTGTCTTTATTAAATACCTTGCAATCAAGTTTTTCGATATGAATTTTTTCTTCACCAAATAATTTGCAATCAAGCTTTTCAGTATGTATTTTTTCTTCACGAAATAATTTACAATTAAGTTTTCAAATCACGTCAAAAAACTTAATTTCAAGTTATTTGGTGAAGAAAAAATACATACCGTAAAATTTGATTGCAAGTTATTTGATGAAGAAAAAATATATATTAAAAAATTTGATTAAAAATTATATAGTGAAGAAAAAATATATATTGAAAAACTTGATTGCAATTTATTTAGTGAAGAAAAAATACACTAAAAAATAGTGAATATTAAATAATAAAATTAATTGCTAAATGAAAAAGATAGAATTAAAATATTTAAAAAATGTAGAGATGTAAAAATTTTCGGAAGTTAATGTAGGAGGGTATACTCTTTTATGTGGTGGATGCATTAATTGTTCATTCATGATACGAGCATCTTTTGTGGGAGTATCTTAATTGGATAAAAAGATATTTTTTGTGGGTTCAAAGTGATTTGTAAGATTTAAAAAGTTTATAGTTGATTTGAGTTGTTTTTACTTTGCCGGAAACTAAAAGTTAGTGAATTAAATGACATGTCATATCCATTCCAATCAGGGGCAGAGTCAGCGCCCGGCCAGGTAGGGCAGGTGCCCAGGCTCAACCGCTTCGAATCACTTTCATGGAACTCTTCTCCTCCCTCGACACAATGAAGAAGACGACAAGTTGTGAGCACACCTGAGATAATGGAACATGTATATACTATAGAATTTAAAATCTTACAAGTTGAAGATGCAATTTTAATTCAAGGAAATAATTCCTTTGGGATTAGCATTGTCCTGCCTTGGTAGAAAATTATGAATTCAGTGGCGGAGCCAGTGGAATGCAAAAAAATACAGCTTTTAGTCTTGCTCACAAGGTGTTCGATAGAGTAATTTAACCAATTTTTTTTGTCTATTTTCGCTTCAAATCTTTCACTTCATGATGTTGAATTATTGTTTTTGTTGATGATTGTTGTTGTTGCAGGTTGTGGTTTATGAATCGGTATCAAATTGTTGTTGTTTCCACCGTTTTGCAAGTTGCACACTAAGTGTTTGGTAAATTGCCTCAACCAAGTTTCTTTTCTTTTTTTAGTTTTTGTTTCTTACGAATTATGAGGCTGAATTGTTATTATTGATTCTTTCACTTTATGTTGCATGAGGTTCAATTTATGCTCTGCACCTGAATTGTTGTTATAAATTGTTATCATTATTACATTAGTTGTTCTGTGGAATGTTAAGCCAAGGAATATGCGTGGTGTCAAGTCATGTGGAATGTTTATGGCTGCTTCTGATTCAAAGCATGAGAATGTTGAACTTCTGTTCTCTCCCGAGGAAGCAAATCTTGGTGAAAGAATATGGTTTGGATCTGAAGATGAAAAGGACAATCAACCTGAAGCTGCCAAACCGAATCAGGCAATAACTCAACTTTATTGTTTGATTGTAAACTTTATACATGTTCTTCCTCTCTTAACTTTGATATTTTGTGTGGTTTATTCTCTTGTATTGCCATAACATTCTTGTGTAACAAACATGCAGATACAAAAGAAAAAGATATTGGAACTGGTGCAGCCTCATCTTAAGACAGATGTTTCTTGTACGACGATGCTAGGTGACCATATAATGCGTATATCTGTAGGCACAACACAGTGGCATGCCAGTCTTTGCAAAATGCAAATATCTCCTGACCAACACTCATTTTCTCAGTTTACACATATGAATTGGCAATACCTATCTGTATGCAATTCTTCTTTTTTTGGCTCATGTTAAAACATATGTTATATATATATATATATATATATATATATATATATATATATATATATATATATATATATATATATATATATATATATATATATATATATATATATATATATATATATATATATATATATATATATATATATATATATATATATATATATATATATATATATATATATATATATATATATATATATATATATATATATATATATATATATATATATATATATATATATATATATTTGATTTTAAATTGTTTTTCTGAAGTTTCACTTGGAAACAAGTTGAGTTGAGACTCGAGGTTAAATCAGAATTCAATTTTTTCCTCTCAACTTGTCCAGTCTCATATGGTATATGTTACTGAGAATTCTGATTTATGATTCTATGTGTTTGCTATAAAGTTTTAGTTCACTGTTTTTGTGGAAATTGGTTGAAAGGTGTATTGTTGATCCAATGCTGCCATTTGAAAAGCATTAACATGTTCTGTATTCATATATTAATCCATAGGTTCAAAACATAAGTACGATGCAGGTATCATGTGGCCTTTCATTGAAGCTAAAAGAGCAGCATGGTACGATGCATATCTACATAAAAGCAGTTTAAGTGGTTTTGGAGGTTACCAAGTAAGTCTTCTATAGATGGCTCTAATTTATTTTATTTTAAAATAGCAGGCATATATAATTATTGAGATTTAAAGTGAAAATCAATTTTATATTATCAATCCATTAAACTCTTGCGGATTTTGCGGTCTTCAAAGGATGATAATTGAAATAAATAGGAGTACATGCTATTATATACAATGTGGATTTGCGGTCTTTGAATTTTTGCCCAGACTTTAGAATTTTTCTAGCTCTGCCACTGATTCCAATTATATAGCGTACGTTAATTATATAATTCCCGGAAACTAAAAGTTAATGAATTAAATGTCATGTCATAGTCATTTCAATACAAATTCTTTACAATCATCGTTAACTATAAAAAATTTAACTATTAAAAACCTACATTAAAGATGCTCTAAATAAGCTTGTATTTTCAACAAAGAAGAATGATGCATAATTTTCCATCTTTACAACTACTATTCTTTTGGCATCTACTATCCATTTTAAGAATATACGTTATTATAAAAATATAAAAATATATTTTATTTAAAGAATTGACTTTACTTTTTTTATAAAAATACATATCTTTTTTTTTTCCTTTCATTTTCTTTTATAATTTTTTTTATTTTTAAAATTAATTGAATAAATAACATATTTAAATAATATATAAATTAGATATAATTAAATAAGTTAAAGTTTATTTACAAAAGAGAGAATGAAAGGTGTACTTTTTCTTCTTCTTTCGTTCACTTTAATTTTTCCTATCTTTCACGTCACTTTTTTTAATCATAAATTTTATATATCTCTCTTTATTTTTTCTCTTCAATTCAAATTCCCTTTTCTATATTTTTATTATTTATTTTCTAAATTTATTTTCTCTATTGTCCTCTCTTTCTCTTATCTATTTTATCTGTATATGAAAAATACATGACAAAAGTAACTATTTCTGATACATAAAAAATCTCGAGAAAAACATTTCACTTGTTCTAACAATTTAATATAAACAAATTATAAACTTGATGATTTTGTGAAATACTTATCATGAAAATAAATATGTTATTTTTAATAAACAAAAAATATAGAATAAATATTTATCATTGATATATAAATAATATATAAAATAAATATGTATTAATTAATATAAAAATGAGACAAATATGTATTATACATAAAAAGAACATGAATCAAATATTTGTCATCAATAATAATACTCATCAAAGAAACAAATATTTGTTATTAAATATGAAAAACATGAGACAACTATTTGTTACGTATAACAAAACATGAGACATATTTGTTACGTATAACAAAACATGAGACACATTCGTTATTAGTAATAAAAATATTTCATTGTAATTCTGGTTTCTATTTTTCTCTCTTTAGTGGTACTCTCTAATTTTAAAATTTGAATTTTTGATTCTTAAAGAAATTTTAGGATTTTGGTCGTTTGCAAATTTAAAATCAATGTTTTAATAAAAAAAAGTAGGATTAAAGGTCTAAAACAGAGAAACACTAAACATTAAGAACCATTACAATCATTGACAAACAACCGACTTAACTCTAACGAGCAATCATCAAACCAAGTGCAATTATTTAAATTTGACAAATCAAACTTGACCAGATAATCAATACACTTATTAGACTTTTTATAAATGTGCTTAAAATGCACAATCTCAAATTTCTTAGTGAGAAGAAAAATACGCCTAGCCAAAGTCGAACCTTGTTATCAAATTGAATAATAAGTCTTTTAAAATATTTCTTTCAAACAAACTTCATATTAGTAAGCACTCATTCAGCAGAAAGGCTATTAGAATTGCCTATGGTCTTATGGAAACCACCTAGCCAACGCCCTTGAGTATCTCTGAAAGGCCCCCATAGTTAGCAAACAACTTGCCATTGGTACCCCATTGGAGTTGAAACAAATCCAACTCAAAGGCAGGGGGATCCACTACACAATAATTAGA